AGGGTCTTATGGTCCTGGCTCCTATTCTGGGGAGCGTCAGTCCGGTTCCTATTCCACCGGCAAGTCAAATTACTCATCACATCAGTGACCACTCACACACGCTTCCTTCCGTCAGGCCGAAGGACCCCTGAGCAGCATTGATTGCTCCACCGCGGGAGGATTGCCTGTCCGCTTGCCTTGTCCCTCTCTTTTCTCTCAGACCCGGCTTCCAGATCTGTCAAATAATGCCTTTGACCCTAGAAAGAGCGCATCTGTTATCCTTACCCAACCTGGTCCCTCCCCATATACCTCTTTGCCCCCCTTTGGATGGACAACCATTTACCCTTAAGCCCTAAACCCTCAGCCTGCCTTCCTATCCTCCGATCATCAAACTTGGAACCTGGCCGGGTATTTGTCAGCTTCCGGATCTCTGAGGTAGGATCTTCCTTTGCAACCCCCGTTCATGCTCCAGTATTATCATCATCCCCAACTTGTCCTCCTTTACCCCACGTTGTCTGTACCCCCTGGGTCGCTTGGGGATTGTATTTATCCCCTTGCAGCCTAAGATGTGGTTATGCCTTCCAGCGATGTCTGATGTTGGGAACCCCTTCCCGCAATTGAGTTGTGCCAATCTTTCCAGCATACCCGATCCTGTCGTAATTCTGCAACCTTGCCATTGACCAGCCAGTTCCTATAGAATCTATGTCTTTCCTTGTTCCGCTGTTCTTCGTCTTCCGTCCAGGCTTGCTTGATCTTCCTCCATCTGCAAAGGATCTCAGCTTGAATCATTGTTTTGGTTTCTATCCACACCTTCTCCCATGGGTTGGACCGTCCTTCAATTGTTCTGCTGCATCTCTCCTTCCATATGACCCATAGGGTCACTTTCCTGATGAGTTCAAACCAGATCCTTTCAGCCTTCCGTGCCTGATCAAGGATGTTAGTCAAGAGGAGCAATTGAATGGGTTGTTCGTGGGAGGGAGATGTGAAGAGGGAATCCCAGAGTGAAGAAGCTCTCGCCCAGTATTCGGTCGCCTCTTTGCACAGCACTAGGCAGTGGACTACATCTTCTACCGCACCTTCGGAACAGACTATACATAGTTCAGAACTGTCTGGGTCTGTGGCTTTCCGTCTAATGTGCAGCCATTGGTTCACAGGTAGGGCTGCGTATACGATCAGCCATTGCAAACTTCTAATCTTGATTGGTCTGATACTTCTGAATTTTTCCCAATGGATTCATGTAACTTTGTCTGCTTCTGGACCCACGAGGTTCCGCCATCTGTTTTTGATGATCGGGTCTGGATTTTTGGCCTTTAGAGCTAGTCTGTAGCGGCAGTGTAGCCCAGTTTGACCGAGTAATCCTGGATTGGGATCTTTGATTTGAAGTTGCCGGTAATATTTGGCTTCCAGGCCCATTCCGCAGGGTTGAATTCCAAGGTCCGGATTGCAGTGTCCGGTCTGAAAATTGTCTTTGGCCATGTGCCTAGGACCCTTACTTTCCTGAGGAGGAAGGAATCTAGTATAGATGATTCTACATTGCAGTTCAAAATAGTTAGCATATTCGAATTGGTGAAAGAGACCGGAAAGGAAAGGAAAGTGGCTCTCATGTGTGAGCCTTGCTGCATGTGGGAGAATTCATAGGCTCTAGAAGGGGATGTGTCTTGAATCATAAGACCCCACTCGCCCCGTCTCCACGAATCATCTTTATCCAGGATATCTTTCCACTCCCGTGGAATAAGACTGAGTATGTACTGAAGATTGGCCTCTCGTCTGTGGCATCCTTTCAGTCGGGCACTAACTTCTTGTTCCGTTATCCAGTCTTTTCTATCCTCCTTCCACAAGTGGTCTACTTTCCAGATACCGTTCTTGATCCAGGATAGCCATCTCTGTTCTAGGAACAGTGGGTTGTTGGCCTCGTTTGTTAGCCATTCATTCCCGAAGAGCGGTTGTCTTAGTACTTCATCCTTGGACTTAGGTTTATTTGTCTTGTTGGGGATTATTTTCCTCCATGATTGAAGCAGTGCCGCCCAGTAAGGGGTGGGCGGTCGATGTTCCTCGAGTCTCTTATTCCTCGTCCGATTCCTCCGTCCCTGCCATTCTTTGTTCATTACCCAAAACAGGCCTGACATATTGTTCGGGGAGGGTACTGGTGCTATAGATCTGATACTATCCAATGCCAACTTGTTCCAGGCGCTGTCCGGATTCATCAGCAGTTTGATGATCCATTTGATTTGCAGGGCTTTCGTTTCTGTTCCGGGGTCAATGATTCCTAGGCCCCCGTCTCGTGGCCTCCTTGTAACATAGTGCCAGGCTATCTTAGATAAGTCGTTTCTTTGTTGGGGTCTCCTGTCCATTGGTACATCCTGGCTCGCCTGTTCAGCTCCTTAATCGAGTTGTCGGGAATTGTCCAAATGGAAGCAATGTACCACATCATTGAGAAAACCGACGTATTGAGGACTAGCGCTCGACCAATAAGGGAAGTGAAGGAGTTGCCCCACCTCCCGATTTTGTTAATCTGTTTGACCAGCATGGAAGGGCCCATTTGGGGCGCCAGCCCTTCTTTCGTCATCAGGATACCCAGATAATGAGTGGGTGTGTCTGGTGTTTGCCATGTCATAGCCGCCTCGTCTCCTTGGAGAGAAAGGGGTTCGCCCTCGGAAAGCCACCAGCCAATTGTTTTCCCCCCAGTTAATCTTCATTTCTGAGGCTAATCTGAATGCTTCCATTGCTTTAGCTAGTGTTCTGAAGGAAGAATCTGATGCTCTGATCAGAACCGTTAAATCGTCTGCGAACATGATAGCTGCGGGAAAACCATCTGGTGGGCAGAGCCTACGTCGGTGCTGGCTATTCTCTGAATTGATGGATCCTTGCGCAGGAAGGATGCGATTGCCTCCATTACGAATAGAAAGATTGACGGGGCCAACGGGTCCCCTTGGCGGACCGAGCGGGATATTGGGTAACAATCTGACAATAGTCCGTTGACTTGGACACAGCCAACTGCATCCTTGTATAGTATGCTAACCCACTTTCTAAAGTTCGGTCCGACTCCCATTCTTTCCATGCTTGCTTCCATAAAGTCCCAGTTGACTTGATCGTATGCCTTCTCAAAATCAAAGAAGAGAATGGCGGCATTTATTTTCCTTTCTCTGATTTTTCTTACTGACTCGTTCAGTGTCATAACATTATCTAGAATATAACGACCCGGGATGAATCTTGTTTGATCGATGTGGAAGCATTTGTTGGTGATCTTAATGATCCGATTGGACAGGGTCTTGGCCAATATCTTGTACGGGAGGGTTAACAACGAAATGGGCCTATAAATTTTTATGTCATCTTTTTCACCCTTTTTGTAAAGTAACGTGACCACGCTGCTGCTAAGTAGATAGCCCAGCCCCCACTTGGACCAGCTGTCATTATAGAAGTTTAGCAAGTCAATTCCTAGCAAGGGCCAAATTTTTTCCCATAATTCTTTTGTTAACCCAACAATTCCTGGAATCTTGTTGTTGTTCATGCTTTGTAGAGCCCGATGTCTTTCTTCTGATGTGATTGGTTTGTCGAGAGCTTCGGCCTGTTCGGCTGATATTGTTTGCTCTAAGTATTGTAACATTTTCTGCCTTGCCTCTCTGACATTGAAGGGTATTGGTGCCCCAGTCTTAGAGTGGTATGGATCCTTGTAAAAATTGTTTGCTATCTCTAGCATCCCTTTGCTATCTGATTTCACGGTTTCGGGAGCTGCATGTGACCTTAGGCCTTCTATTGTGCCAGCTTTCGAATTCGCTTTGATTCGGGCAAAGAAGTGTTTGGTCATTGAATCGCTGAGTTCGTACTCGCACATTCTTGCTCTTATTTGAAGGCCTTTCAGAACCCACCATTTCCACATGGCCAGTTCCTCTCGAGCCTTGTCGAAAATCTCGATATACAGTTGGGAGGCGGGGTTGTTCGTCAGGTTAGTTTCTGCAATTTTTAGTGCAAATTATAGTGATTGCTTTCTCGACGCTAGCTTCCTAGAGACTTTGGCCACGGTGTCTGAAAGGGTCCAATAGCTCTTCTGAAACCATTCCCATCGAGGAACAGTGCTTAGACGCACCGACCTCAACCCTTCCCAGCAGTCGCATACACCACTTTGGAAGGTTTGGCTCAGCAGGAGGGAATTGTTGAGCTTGTGGAAGCTGGCTCCCTTATAACTACTTGGTCAAAGCATATGACCAATTCAGTTGGTTTGTGATCCAGTCCTGAATATGGAGCCAATGGTAACACTTCAACTTCCTTGACTGCCCCCATCATGATTTCGGACACTAGAAAGTAGTTTATTCGTGAGAAGGTCATATGGTTAGCTTGGTTTTGCTTGACTAAGGTGAAAGATCTCTTGTTGGGGTGTAGGGTTCTATGGGTTCTACCAGGTTGTGATCCAACATCATTTCCTGGATTGGTGTTGCTTCTGATAAGTTTGGGGTATTGGAAGAGCGAGAAATACGGTCTACTGACGGGTCTATTGTGGCATTCTAGTCTCCTGCCAGAATACATGGAGTAACTGGTGGAATCAGGTCTCCGATGTGTCTTAGAAAGGTTATCCTTTCTGTTGGCGAGTTTGGAGCATAAATATTGAAGAGTATGAATTCCTCTTCCCTCCATTTTAGATGTAACATACACCACCTTCCTTCTGTCTGATCGGCTTTCTTATCAAGGACAGAGCCTGCTACATATAGGCGGGAGGATTTGGGAATCAGGATGGTCGTTCCCTTAGAGCTTGTTTCAGGGTCAACCGACCAAATTTCGTCCTTCAGGCCACCTAGTTTTCTTGTTATAAATGTACAAATTATGTTGTGTGTTGTTGAGAAGGTGAGGTGTGTTTCCTGTAATAGCACTATATCTGCTGGCTTCCTATCTCTCATCGAGATCCCGGAAAATATATCGTTCCATTTTTCTTCTCTTTCTTCTGAGAACTAATCCTTGACTTTTCCAGTTAATGCGATCCCTTACCTCGTTCGCTCTTCTCCTGTAGCTCTCCATAGAGGCAGTTGGGTTAGATTAAAGGGAATAGTTGGTCCAGGAACCCTAGGTAGGGGGAGGTGGAGAGGTACCCGTGCTCGCACCTTCCCCAGTTGTCGCCTGGTCAGACCCTAAACCGCTGTCCTTTGATGGGGAGAATGTGGATTCTCCTGCCTTGTCTGTTCTCCCCGGGTCAATCAGGTCATTCCCTTCCTTTTCTAGATCCACGTCCCAGCCCAGGATCTCTCCTTCATCATCCCCTTCCCACGAGGAACAGTCAGAGGCGTCACTTCTGTAGTATCTTTCACAGTCCAGGGCGAATGCTCTTGCATCAAGATCCTCGTCCCCTTGCAGCTGTCCTGATTTGACAATTTGAGCCACGGTTGTGGCCATCAGTTTTGCCGACACACCGATGCCGGCTAAGATGCTGTAAGGGACCTCGGCCACTGTTCGCCACGGTTTCCAGATCATCCCTGATCTCAACTTTGTTGATTCTGACATCTTGGCTATCAGGGGTGAGAAGGCCCTTGGGGAGTTCCTGGTCATCTCGCCCTTACCACAATGGATGCTTTCTGTTTCCTCTTGCGCGCTGGGGTCAATCAGATCTGTTTCCACGGCAGCTGTCTCAAAGAGCCCCAGTGGGGATTCCAATGTTACCTATTCTTTGAGCACCTTCACCACGTTTTCCCCCTCTACAAAGTGGGGGATTTTGAAGGCTGTGGCTGTTGCGGTCTGCCACTCCCTCGCATTCGACACGTACCTGGTTGCAATGAGAGGTGGATATTCCTCAACGTTCTGCGAGCAGCTTTGGCCGATTCCGACACCATTGGGGTCCTTCCGTTAGCAATCTGAGAAATGGTAGTGAATTCCGGTGCATATTCCTTGTTCCACTTCCTCAGTTTCTCCGTTTGGGACATGACCACGACCGCTTCTTTTTCTAAGAGGTCTCGTTCCGATTTCTCTTCCGCCTCGGTTTCGTCGTTGTTGGTTTCCTTCTGTTTCTGGTTCTTACCCAATCTCCTTGCCTTGGGTCGTAAGTCCTGGAAGTTGTCCTTGGTTGTGGGGATGGTCTTGTCCTTGTCCTCCGTTCCTCGTTCCCTTGCCCTTTTCTTCTCAGCATATCTGAAAGTCGCGTATTCAGAAAATTCCTCTGTTTTGACCTTCTTGAGGATTTCGTACTGATTAGAAGAGTTGTTGCTTCCTGCTGTTGCATCTCTTTTTCCGTTCACCTAGGATCTCTCTGCATGTTTCAAGCAGGCTACACGGACATTAAACGCATGTTCCCTTTCCCTTTTTGCCCACTCCACATAGTCTCTGAGCCAGGTCAGGGACTGTGTGGAACCATCCTCAGCATCTGGTGTCGTGTCCTTCCCCTCATATTCCTTGTCTGTCTGTCCTCCCGTCAGATCCATCTCCATACCTTCCTCTTCAGCCCCAGTTTTTGTCATTCTTGTTTCCTTCCCTCCTGCTGATTCCCCTGCCCTCCTTCTTTTTGATCCCGATTCTTTCCCTGCCGACCCACCATCACCTTGTAGCTGGCGTTTGTTGTCGGCTTGTGATTTGTTCCTTTTCTTGTATGTTTGTTGTACGACTTGTTTCAATGTTTCTCTGAATGAGTCTGGTTCCTTATTGCACTCCTGTTCGATCTGCTCCCTTATTGTGTCAAGATCCCACTGCAAATTCTCCCTTGCTTTTTCCTCCCTAATCACCCGTGAATCTGTAATAGGGCTAGTGTTGATCTTCGTCGGGTTGCCTTTAACTTTCCCCGTCGCTTTCTTTTGCCATCTGTTATCTGCCGGGGGGAAAATGTCCTTTTTTTTGGTGGACGGAGTTTGGTCTGCAAAGTGCCATACCCAGTCAGGTTCATCAAGGTTGTCATCGAAGACCCATCTGTCGTAGGATGAGTCGGCCACGTACCAAATACCAGGTGCATCTTCCACTTCTACGAGCATGTTCGGTGGAAGCTTCCCTTCTTTAGCTTGCTTCGAGAACTTGGGACAACTCGGGTCAGTGCCCAAGTGGCCTCGTTCTCTGCATCGAAAACAGATCGGCGAGGTTCTCTTGGAAATTCTTACTTCAATCACCCTGTTTTCAATCTGGAATTTCCAGACCTGAGGGAAAACAGGCGGATCATCCGTTTGCACGTCTAGGATTGTTGTCAACGTGCCACAGTGAGGCGCCAGGAAGTCTGGTGTTGGTAGAATCCATTTCAGGACTTTGTTCGCTGTATATTGTCGTTCAAGCCTGTCCACCAGCAATCCGTGGAAGCCCGGCTGAATGTTGTCGAATTGAACCCAGAAGTTCTCCCTCATTAAAGTTTGTTTGTAGGAGACTGGGAATCCTAGGGTCTGTCTTTAAGCTGAGAGTTTTTTCCACCTTGTGATTGTGCAAACTAAGCCATGGCAGTTTCTGGATTGCATTTCTGCTGCAATCCTAGCGTGGTCCTCATGGATGAAATGCACCATGATATTGTTCCGCCCCAAGTTCTGCAGCGAGAAAGTGCCACCAATCTGTTTGCATCTTGGTTCCTTTCTAATCGTTTTGATTACCCATTTTCTTTTTTCGGCTGGCTGGAGATCTGGCCCATGGCGTGCAAAGTTAAATACCACTCCGTGTTTTTCATGTAGCTCATCTAGCTCGACGATCTATTTCCATATCACCACTTCTTTGTTTTTCGGTGGATTCAATTCCTTGGACTTTTGTTTTCTCGATTAGGAACTTCCTGATCTGTTGGGATCGTGGCTTGCGTTGGATCTGCCATCTTTTCCTCTTTCAATAAACCGAACCTGTCCCCTTCGATTCCTTGCTACGAAGTCTGTCAATCCCTTGTGTGGGGAGAGCGAGGGTGAGGG